GGGTATAAGGAACAAGCAATACCAAGGGGCTCTTTCTGATGGACTTTGGCTATTTGCTTTCTAGGGAGATGAGATCAACCATAAGAAAAAAACTAAGGTGAGCATTTGTGGCACTTCCTATTAGGGGAGTGTAGGGGAGGGGATACCAGAGATGCCCCTGGGAAGAATATTTCTTGGCTGCATCCCCTCCATCACACATTTACTGGAATAGTTTGATAATGAAAAAGTGTAAGACCCATCCATCTGGTAAGTGAAGTCAGGGGAGTGGCATCAGGGATAACTTCCTGCAGGAGGAGGGGCTATTTATACTCACCTCTGAGAACAGGTTGAGACTGGATGAATTTTCAGGGAAGGAAGATTGCCACATGTGCAAAGACCTAGGACTGGTCCCCTATCCCACTGCTCAACCCACCCAGGCTCTGTGTGCATCCTGTTCTTCTCTTGGCCTAGGAATACAAAGTAATGAAAGAGATCATGCTCCTCCAGGTGGCTGCAGATAAGTACACTCTAGAACCGAAGGAGGAGTTTAGAGCCTGCTTCCAGGCTGTGGAGCGACTCAGTGAGAATGAGAGGTGAGGCCCATCAGGAGCTGGGCAAAGGCGTGGACTCTTTCTGGTGGCCACTCTAGGGATCCTGCATCCATGGCTCCCTGGGCAGCCTCAAGCCTTGTTTCCTTGTGATCACTGGAACACCAGACTCCAGCTACTGGGAAAACACTGGGAGAGACACCTGAATTGTAGCTCCTGGTCGACTCACAGGTGTCATTCTCTCTTTAGCTACATCCTGTCCTGCCAGCTGGAGCCCCAATCCTAGCTGACCAGTGAAACTCAAGAACAAGAAGAATTGGCCACAATCAAGCTCAGGACTGAGTGAATGTCCAGTGCTAGCGCAACCTTTCCTCAGCAGCTTGGACACTTGCTGTGATGAACCCCATCTCCTTGACACTTCTTCCTCCCATCTATTTACCTACTTGGAGTGGCAATATTTATCTTAAATAGTAAAAGCTAGATTTGAATATTATTATATTAAAGCCTTCTTTTATAGCCCAGGAGTTTGGTTTGGTTCTATTACTTCCTACAGCAATTTAAATGGTGTACAGACTCTCATAGTCTTTCTTGAACTAAGAAATCTTACAGAGTCATCAGCTATTGTATGTGGGAGGAAGGAGAAGAGCCAGCCCTCCTCCCAAATTCCTCTTACTCAGAGAACAGGTTAATTTCAGTATAATGAATTTGGGTAAAAAGAAGAGACAGCTCCTCAGAATTACTGAGATTTAGAGGTTGAAGTTACTTTCACAGGAATGGCAGCAACCATTGAAATTGGATGTCCTTAAGTGTAACAATTTCCAGGACTACTACCTGCCCCAGGACAGTGGCTGCTTTCTACACTTTAAAGGAAAAGGTTTGTTTCCTGCTTCTTTTATTGAGGTATTGTTTTTTGTTTTGGAGGTTTTTTTTTTTTTTTACCAAATATTTGAAACTTTAAGTTTTCTAGTTCAAACTCTGGAGTTGCATTAGCAAAAAACATGTAAAGAGGTCAAACCCTACATGTGGAAAGGATAAGGACAGGAGAAGGTAATTTGCAAATTGACTAAGGGCAGGCAGGACTTTCCATTATCATTCTTCCTCTAGGGGCTCCATGTTAACACTTTACCTAGATTTAAATCCTCCAGGGATCCTTTTCAATGACCTCTGAATCCCCTCCCCTGCTTGTTTTGTATTTGGGGAAAAGATGTGTGATGTACTTTTATGGCCACAGCTGCTGAACATGGTCCCATAAACATCTATGCTAAGAGCTAGGATGTCTAGCATTCCTGCATTTCCTTATGCAGCTTTTTTTTTTTTTTTTACATTAGTTAACATACAGTGTAGTCTTGGTTTCAGGAGTAAAACCCAGTGAATCATCTCTTACATTTGATACCCAGTGCTTATCCTGAAAAGTGCCCGCCTTAATGCCCATCACTGATTTGGCTCACCTTCAAACCCACTGTCACCCTTAACCTTCTTTGTATTTAAGAGTACATACACCCTTCTTTGTATTTAAGAGTCTCTTATGGTTTGCCTACCTCTCTGTTTTTATCTTATTTTTCCTTCCCTTCC